GATGGATAGATAGTTACATAGTTAGTCAGGTTGAAAATAGACACGTGTCCATCAAGTTCAACCTATAGAGATATTGGGGAAAAAAAGAAAAGCCTGAATAGAACGCTACGCCCACAGTTACCCACTGTTGATCCAGAGGATAGATAGATAGATAGATAGATAGAATCACATGCACATGGAGCAATTACTATTACATAGATACATACACAAATAGAGGTCAACCAAGGAGAGTTAAGGGGGACCAAATAGATTGACGATCCTGGAAGTGTCCCCTCTGCTCCCAGTCTTCCCCTCATCACCCCTCTGCCCCCACATCCCCCTTTGCTCCCACTCTCACCTATATCCCCTCTGCTCCCACTCTCCCTCATATCCCCTCTGCTCCCACATCTCCCTCTGCTCACACTCTCCCCCATATCCCCTCTGCTCCCACATCTCCCCTCTGCTCCCACTCTCCCCTCTGCTCCCACTCTCCTACATCTCTCCTCCTCTGCTCCCACATCTCCCTCTGGTCCCATGGTCCCCCACATCCCCTCTGCTCCCAGTCTTCCCCTCATCACCCCTCTGCTCATGTTGAGAATTAGTACATAATAACACCAGGAGCTCTTTGTGGAGTTCTCCTTTAAGCCTATACGAGCTAATTTGGTATGCTGAAATGATACCACATATCCCCAGTGCCGTATATATTATCTGCTGCTTATCCTAGAAATTCGGCCTTTGCTATGTGATTAAATGAAAAGGTTTTTTTTGCTAGATGGTTGTTTCACGCTTTAGCAAATACGGCTTTATTATTGGAAAATGAAAAGAATGAATTTAGATATCACGGGGCTATTGGTGTTCCAGAGACTGGCGGGGACGCGGCACACATACTAACCGAACTATCAGTGAATCTCTAGGAAGGTCATAAGTCTGAATTAATGAGGTGTATACAAATGTAGCAACTGTTCAGTGTGTTGTGATCAGGGTCTTTACATTGTGACGCATACCGGTGTCAGCAAAATGCATCACGCGGCCGCCTCGTAAAAGGCTCACTGTTCTATGCTAGATACAATAAGCAAGTCTTGGCCTGGCATAATGGGGACATTCTCTACAATCATTGCACCCTTTAAAGAAAACCGCTCATTAAAGAGACATGGAGGCTGCCATTGCATCTAGTTTTTTTCAAAAGGAGTTTGGAAAGCTTGACTCCTCTTATATTTTTAACTGTTGCAAGAAAAAGATTGTACTTAAAGAAGCCCTGTCACTTTGCTAATCCAACCATTATTACTCCCAGCTCCATTTCTCTATTGGAGCTGGGAGATGGTTTAGGAGCTTATGCAAGGTTAGTGAATTCCTCACCTCCCTATGACCAACCCATGACAGTGTTCAGATCTGGAGATTGGCCACTTAGACCCATGCGCTGCATTCTAGGAGGAGGTCACATGTTCCCCTATATTGGAAAGCATGTGGTACTTCCTGAGGGCTCCAAAGGAGTGGTGGGGCAGCATGACAAAGGTGAGTATAGGTAAGTGGGGGTTGTGCTTTCAAGTCTCTTTAAATTATTGTCAGTCCTCAGAAAAGTGACCCTTTCCTTGCTGCAGGGGGACATAATACTCCCTAAAGTCAGGCTGTATATTGCCAGATGACCAGCCCATCATGCAGCCCACCCTGTCAAAGGCTTGGCAACCATGCAAAGCCATACAAAATGCATAAGTGCCTGCTTTACATTTCAGCTTATTGACAAAACATAGTATGGCAGCACTGGTACTATGATATATAAGGACATGGCCCCGGGCATCCAGTTATAGTGCACATCAGATACATGCTTAGTTTTCTTGTTCTCAAATGGCTTCAACAACATCCAAGGGTCTCAGTGGTTGGTCATACAGCTGAGTCTTTGAAGACCAAGTCAACTTCAGGAAGCATAATGACTATCAAATGACAGAGCATCCTACCACAGCAAGGTAAATTGTGCTTTTATCCCAATAGGAAAACCATAATTGCTGTAACTGCTTAAAAAATGTTGGGTGGAGTCCGAATTTGTTAGTCAAGTCCATCTAAATCTGCTAGTCCATCCAATACCGCCCTCCCCACAGGGTGACAATTCTGCTCTCCAAGGGTGGCTCCGCTGCTCCTCCATAGAGTGGAGCCACCTAAGACAGGAAGTGGGTTACTGGCCAGATCCCCAGGTGAGAATAAAGGGAAAAAGCCTAAAATAAGAAAAACAATGCAACCACCGCATCTAAGGACTAGTAAGCTGTAATATATTACATTACATTTTTGGGGGTTTGGATATGCTTTAAATTGGTGGGTCTATTTCTGCTTTAGGAGCCTTTTCACACCCTTGGTTTTTCCTTCTGATTGACAGCAACATGGCAAAATCAGTGTTCAATGTGCCAAAATTGCCTCAAGTTCAGTTTTGTTAATCCCTTATTGTCAGTTTTATTGTTTTGCTGAAATGCTAATTCCTTTTGCCTTTTTTACATTTCAGGGATAAGTCACGGATCGGTTGTTGCTGGCGTTATCGGAGCAAAAAAGCCCCAGTACGACATCTGGGGGAAAACCGTCAACCTGGCCAGCAGGATGGACAGCACGGGCGTAAGCGGCAGAATACAAGTGCCTGAGGAAACGTATCACGTCTTGAAGGACCGCGGCTTTGCATTCGAGTACCGCGGAGAGATCTACGTCAAAGGCATAAGCGAGCAAGAAGGAAAAATCAAAACGTATTTTCTTCTAGGAAGAGTTCAGCCAAATCCGTTAATATCACAGCCAAAAATAATCACCGGACAATACTCTCTAGCTGCTGTCGTACTAGGACTTGTCCAGTCTCTTAACCGGCAGAAACAGAAACAGATCCTTAATGAGAATAACAATTCCGCCATCATGAAGGGACATTATAACCGGCGGACACTATTGGCCTCCAGCGGTTCGGAGGCAGTCACGCAAACAGATGGAGCTGATAAACCCGAATTGCCATAAAACACAATCTTTTTTTTTTTTCCTTTGAGTTCATTTTTTGTATTTCTTTTATATATAAATACACAAATAAAGACTTATAATTTTTTTACAAAAAGCTTGTGTTTTTTTTCCTAATTTTTTACCATAAACTCATTAAAATGTGTAAACAATGTGTAACTAACACAGCAAAGCCAGATAAACTGTGGCAGATTTACATAAACTTGCGTGTTTGATTCTGAGAGTAGGAGAATTCTATTCTCTACCTATGCTGGAATAATACTTACTGTGTGGTGATATTTTAGGATCTCAACATTTTTTTTTTAATAGGAGAGGGTTCATGCAAAACCTCAACCTACAGGACCGGAGTCTGGACTCATTGGGGGTCAGAAACTGGTTAATTATGACCTACCAGTCAATTGTGGCTATGTAATGGGTAGATTGCGACCCTGCCATGCTGCCAACTTCTGGCCTGGGAAAATTAGCAGGTGTGTACTGCCGGGATCGGCTCAGCTATGAGCTTAGTGTGTCACATAGGCAGACAGAAGGGATGACATGCTGCTACCTGTAGCGTGTTATATGCTCTGTGAAACTTACTCCTGACCCCTGCACTCTGCAACAACTACTATTGACCACTATACTCTGTGTAATATACTCCTTACTTCTGCTCTCTGCATTACTTACTTCTAACCGCTGAACTCTGCAATACTTACTATTGACCCCTGCACTGTGCATTACTTACTACTGACCCCTGCAATCTGAGTTGCATACTACAGACCTCTGAACTCTGCATTCGTCGTTTCTGACCCCTGCACTGTATGTTACTTACTACTGTCCCTGGAACTCCCCTTGTCCCTTGAAACATTGTTACATACTACTGACCTCTGAACTATGTGTTACTTAATACACAGCCCTGAATTCTGCGTTACATACTCCTGACCTTTAAACTCTGCATTACTTACTCCTGACTGCTGCACTCTGTGTTACTTACTACTGACCCCTGCATTCTGCATTACCTACTGCTAACCCATGCACTCTGCATTGCTTATTACTGACCTTTCCACTACCTACTACTGACCCATGCACTCTGCGTTACTTTCTACTGACCCCTGCACTCTGCGATACCTGCTCCTGAACCATGTACTGTGCATACTACTGACCTCTGGACTCATACTAATCATTACGTACTACCTGACCCCTGAATTTTTCAAACCGTCTTGACTTTTTAATGGGGCCTTGCAGGGTTATCCTGGTCATCGTTGATGTTTTCCATGTTGTTCAGGTAGATCTCCATCTCTCCAGGGTTGTCTACCCCTAGTATACATTTCAGTAAGTTGCCCCTTTAAATACACTCAAAGCAGATGGAATGACTTTAACATGTTAAGGGTTTGTGTTCACTGCATTCATGCATTCGATGTGCATTTGAAATGCACATCAAATACAAGTAAGCATGTTCCTGTTGCCTTCAATGGAGTGTTGTAGATGACAGTTCAGAATGAACATGAACACATGTCTACTCACGACCTAAAGCTGCTATGAAAATGGGTTTGATAACTGCTGGAATTAAAAAATATCTAGGCTATATATAAATGTTTAAAGTGACAGTAAACTCAGAAGTACAAAAATGTATCTTATTTGTGTATCACTCGGCTGTAGATCCTCCAATCATCTCTGAATTGGTGCCGACACTGTCCTTCCTTCTGGAGGGGGGCTACTTTTATTCCCCATGGTCACTGTGTGTGTTGTAAAGTAGTCACCGCTCCAAGCTCACTCCCGGGATGGACTACAATCTCAATACAAATTGGTAACCTGAATGTGAGATTGTAGTCCATCACAGGAGTGAGCTTGGAGTGGTGACTACTACACAACACAGGGACCATGGGGAACAAAAGTAGCCCCCCTCCAGAAGGAAGGACAGTGTCAGCACCAATTCAGAGATGATTGGAGGATCTACAGCCGAGTGATACACAAATAAGATACAATTTTTTTCGTTAATAGTTCAGGTACTTGAATGCATTTCTAAGATTTAACTCACACGCAGTGGCGTCTGAGGGCCCGAAGATCACGGGCATCCAATATTGCGTTTCGGCCTTGTCCCTTCCACACGAAGATTTCTCCAGATTCTCAGAATCTTCTGATGATATTATGTACTGTAGATGATAATATGTTTAAAGTCTTTTTTAGCTTGAGGAACATTATTCTGAAATTCTTCGACAATTTTTAGACGCAGCTTTTCACAGATTGGTGAACCTCATCCAATCTTTACATCTGAGACACTCTGACTCTCTAAGATGCTCCTTGTATACCCAATCATGTTAATGACCTGTTGCCAATGAACCTAATTACTTTCAAAATGTTCTTCCAGCTCTTCCTTGTTAGTACCTCTTACTTTGCCAGCTTTTTGTTGCCCTGTCCCAACTTTTTTGAGACATGTTGCTGCCATCAATTTTTTAAATTACCTTTTTTTTTTTCTTATCATGGTTCATTTTCTCAGTTTAAACATTTGATATGTTTTCTAATTTCCATTTGTGAATAAAATTTGGCCTTATGAGATTTGCAAATCATTGCATTCTGTTTTTATATAGATTTTACACAGCGCCCCAAGTATTTTGGAATTGGGGCTGTATACTGAATAGTATGGGGATGATTTACTAAAGCCAAATAGGACGTTCATTTTGGAAGGGTATTTGCGCTTTGGCTATGATTAAGGTTCCCTTGGAGGTCTGAAACATGTTAGCACCCTTTGTAGCTGCTTTTATGCTTTTTCAATAAATAGGATTCCTACGAGTGCCAGCTCTTTTCCACTTCTCTTTGCACTTTGCAGTGGAAGTTCCTTAGCTTGGCGAATGTGGTGAAATTTAACTTCGCAAAACATACCCAATCATTTGCAAGGAACATTTAAAGAACAGTAGCTTTGCTTGCACGTGATTGGACTGTGGAAGTCAGCAGAACTTCATCTCATTCACTAAACTATAAGGAAACTTCCCCATGCAAAGTGCAAATTCTCTAGTGAGCATCCTATTTGCCTTTAGGCCCGGTTCACACCTGGGCGCGTTCGAACTCTCTGCAAAACGCTCAAACACCGAAATCCCATTATTTCCTATGGGCATGGTTCACACCTGGGCGTATTACAGGCCGTATGAACGCGCTACAAAACGTCCTACGCCCAAAGAAGTACAGGAGCTTCTTTGGAGCGTTTTTGTTGCGCGTTTCCGTTGGAATACAGCCAAGTAGCCCTTGGAAATCGCGGTAAAAACGCGCGTCACGTAACGCGCAACAAACGCGCATATTCGATACGCCTAGGTGTGAACCCAGCCTTAGTAAATCAATCCCTATTCGTGGCCCCTTTCTGGGGCCGCAGCTAAGGCCCCCTATCCCTCATAAGTTGACAATCACTGCCCTGTGCATTCTTTGCTCCTGACTTTTTCCCACAATTCCATGTCGGTAGAGATAAAAGACTTTGTAACAGTTACAGCTGAATAGGCTGTAAATTCCAGCCTCTTTTTATTGGCTGTCACGCCGATTCCAATGACGACATTTTCTTATAACCGGCTTCAAAGGAACAAAAGTTTTAAACAATGGGGTGAAATCACCGTTGCTCAGGGGCACTATGAAACCTTTCTACAAATATGCCGTAAATGTTGCGTGGCGTCCCTGATCGCTTTATTCATCGCGAACGTTATTGTTCTCTACTTACTTGATAAGCACAAAGTCACAGCCAACCCTCACTGACTTCATTCAGCCTCCTAACACATAAATCACTGATGTATTCAATGGCACAACGTCAATAAACTGAGGAGGAGATCTGGGTGTTCGAGTCAGTACCTGTAACTATTTGCATCAAAAGGGTAAGAGATAAAAGTTTGATGGTGGGCTGTAAAATGTGTTATTGCTGAGACATTCCATTGAGATACAATTCAATTCTTAATCGCCCAGAGGAGGAGGAGGGGTAATCTGTGTTGAAGGGTATGTAAACCATAACTATAAACTGCTCTTATTTGTTGCCTTTTTGTTCATTAAAGCCTTGCTTCTCAACTGGTGGGTCGTGACCCAAAAATGGGTCGCGACCCGGTGTTCAGTGGGTCGCCGCATGCCTTCCACTTTTCTAGGTGAGAGGCTCCTCAGCCTCCCTGTAGCGCAGCACAGTTAGTTCTCATGCCAACCAGCCATTCATATGCTGCTTGGCTCTGAGTGTCAGATTGAGGTTGGGTGTGCTGGAGCTAGGGCCGCGAGGAAGCTCCATCCATACGTGCATTATTTACAGCTTCCTTGCATGTCCTGTGGAGGTGCTTGGACTGAAGAGACACCACGTTCTGGCTCCCCGCATCCCTATAGGGCGCGCAAGGGAGTTGTGTAAGTAATGCACATATGGATGGAGCTCTGTCACAGCACTGCAGTCCACCCAGGCGGATGATCCACTCCAGTTCTCATAAGGTAGGGAGACAGACTGTGTGAATCTTAAAAAAAAAGAATAAAAGACAAAAATATATTTTGGAATGTATATGTGTGTGAAATTGTCTTTCAGTGTTTTTGAGGGCCCGTTCACACTAGTGAAGTGCGTTAACTGAACAGTCCTGCGCACTGCACTGTAGCATGCAATCGCACATACTACGCATTCTGGTGTGGGAGGTGTGTTGCCATCCATTTGAATGGCACCCCAAACACCCTGCACCCTTCCTCCCACCCTGCAGTGCGATTGCCCGCACCGAAACGCACTGTACCACAATGCCATGTGTTCCATCTCAGTGCGACTTGGGTCACAACTTAATGACAGAGGACAAATGTGGGTCTTGAGGTTACACAGGTTGAGAACCACTGCATTAAAGAAATAGTAATGATTTTTTTTTATTCATTAATACATTTCACCTTACATTGTAAGTCAAAGAAGAAATCTGGATACAGTAGTTTAAAAACTATCACTTGTGGTGAGACTACCCTCGCACTGCAGGGTTAAAGGTGAACTATGGGGTAAGTGCTTTTCCCAAAGGTTCTCTTAAGGGTCACGGGAGGACAAAAACTAGCGTCCTCCCGTGACCCAAAGCTCAGTATATCGCAAGCTACAGCTCGCGGTATACTGAGACCGCCGCAACCGGGACGGATCCCGACATTACTG